CTGCTGAAAATCCAGCTGCAAAACTGCTGTTACCTCCAAGGTGGTCAGGAGATGTCACCTGCTTCAGAGAGAGCCCTGCCCAAGTCAAGCCAGGATGAGTATTCTGAATAACAGTGAGGAATAAGAAGTTGGGAAAAGCCAACTGCAGGGCTGGGAGGTGTCAGGCCCAGCACCCCCTCACCAGCATCCCATGCTGCAGGGATCCTGAATTTTCTTGGGGTGGGGGGCAGGGAGGTGGCAAGCGGCTCCTTCTTGGGTATTTCTTTTCTTTTTCTCTTTGGTGTGTGTGGCCTGAGACAGAAATTTATGGCAGAGGTTGACCTCCTTTACAATCCCCATCCAGCTCTCTGAGTTTGGAGCGTCTGTCTGCTCTCTCCCAGGATAAACACCTGCAGTAAACTCCCTGAGAGACCTGGCTAGATGGGAGATTAATGTGGCTGTAATAGTGGAGCAGTGTTTGCAGCATTATGCCCTCTCCCCAGGTAGATGGATCTTTTATGAGATGATACCAAGTATTTATTGCTGAAACATCTGTTGATAACTGCAGCTGCCCTTGTTAAACAAAGCATATCATGGGGTCATAGACTATAGGGACCTAAAATCCTACCTCATGCTAGTTTTAGACTATTCACCCACACCCTCTGAAGTCCATTGGTTACTGTTGTCTTCAATGTTTCATCCTGCGGTCAAAAATACTTTGCAAACCTTGTGCTGCCTTTCCCCATGTGCTTTGAAGTATTATTTCATCTTCATTGGTAATTTATATTCCAGTGCCATTGTACCATGGGAAAAAGAGAAAACCTTTTTTGTTTTCCATTTAATTGTGGATAGACTGACATTTTGACCTGTATTATTAGTAGTAGTCAGGAAAAGGGATTTTTTGTCCCCTTCATCCATTCCTTACCTCCCCCCCCCCCCCTTTTTTTTTTTAATAAAATTTCAAGGCAGAGCAAAGGCTTCTTCAGTTCTTTGAATAAAAAGCTAGGGGGGAAATGAGGCTGAAGAGAAGTGATTACAGTGTGATGAGGAAAGATAAAAGTCTGAGCAACTTTTTTCTCCTTTTTATTTTTTGGCATGAGGGACAGAAGGATAATTTAATTCCCTGGAGGGGGAAAAAAAAAAAAAAGTCTTTGTTGAATTACTGGTTAGAAAAACCTTTAAAATTTTTCATCTCTGTTTATTTTAATTTGCCATGCTTAGAATAAGCTCATAAACCGTAATTCATTACTTTTTTTAAAAGTGCTTTGAGACCCATGAATGAAAGGCACTTCATTACCATAACACCCTGGTGGTGTTAGGAGGAGGCAGAGCACCATGAGGATCTTTTACTCTGTGAGTAGGCTGAGAAGCTCCATGAGTCCAGCACAGTGAGTAAGCGGATTAGGCTTTGGCTTCCAGGGTTTGCCTTAAATGTTGCACTTTAAAAAGTGGGGATACCCATTGCTGGGTCACTGTGTGCCTAGTTTGACACACCAAGAAGGCAAAATCTGCAGCCTTTTAAAGTGCTCTTCTTTTCCTGTGGGATGCTCATTACTTTGGGTAATGGCCAGGGGTAGCTGCAAGCCAGGCTTCCCTCAGGACACTCACTGCAGCCTTGCTGCTGCTGGAGCAGGGCTCAGGGCAGATTTTGGCATTGTACACAAACTTTTCTTTATGATATGAAATTTCTGAGCCCCACCTTAGGGATTTTCAGGCAGCAGATTTACTGTCATCCTTGAGGCAAACCAGTGCTTCTGGTTTTACAAAATATTTGTATCTTGTAGAAGGTGGGGTTTTTTTTTGTTTGGGTTGTGGTGGTTTTTTTCTTTTCCCTGCCTGGCCACCCCAGGTCAACAAGCTCAACACAGAATTTTCCACCTTTTCCTGGCAGGTTTGAAGAGAACCTCCCTGTTGGCTGCCATCTGCCCATCCTGCAGCCCCCATCTCAGCCTGAACACCCCTTTGGTGGGGATCTGCACTAAGGCTTGAAGAGCCATAACCAACATCTCTATCCAAAGCAAACCCTGGGGAGCACAGGGATTCTGGGATTTTTCTTGTTAACAAATCAGAGTAAAATCAGAACTGTAACAGCACCCTTGCTGACCAGCATAAATAAGGAGGGGGTTACATTTTCTCTCGAAATACCACATGTGGGGTCAGACTGGGGCTGCAGATCCAAAAGGGAAGTTGCTAGGGCCCCCCATCCTGAAGATCTTCACTATCCCAAGGGATGGAAATAGCCTTCTGCTCGGTGACCAGCCAATAGAGGGCAACATGCCCATGTACACGTAGGCTTTGATCCCACAAACCCTGTTGTGGGTTTCCTTCAAGGACAACTCCATGCACACAAGTTGTTCTCTTGTGGGATGATTCATGCTGCGTGGATATTTTCATTACTTTTTGCAGGATTGGAGCCCACTTGCAAACCCCTTGTAACCTTGTAGGGCTTGATGTAATTTTTTATTCATTCGTATCAGTATTTCCTGCACCCAGGCTCATGCATTCAGCCATGAACCAGGATCTGCTAGGATGGGTACAGTGTGAATATGAAAGGAAAAGCCCCCAGGAGTAGAAAGAACCTCTGCAGGTCCCTCTGCACCTGCTGCAGGGAGAGCTGTGCAGGCTGATCCCCTGCTTTCTGCTGTGGATGGGGGAGCACAGATCCTGATCTTGCTGGTGCAGAATCTCATTGGAATTCATGGGAATATTGAAAATGTTGAGCAGAAAATAAGGCCCTGCAGCCCTTGGTCCTTGGCTAATTATGTGCTGATGGATTGTCATTAGGGAAACCCTTCTGAGGGACATGCCCTAACTACCCTTAGGTGTGCGTGTGGCACTTGAGAGCTGCGAGCCTTTGAAAAAGAGCTAAAGAGGGGGCTGCGGATTTAGTTTTCTCCTCCTTCTAACTGTTGGTGTGGTAACAGGAGAATTAAAGCCCTAAATCGGAGCCCTGGGATCTTGGTTGTTCAGGCTGACCTTTCACTACCTGCCTCGTAAGGGCTCTTCTTGGGTGATCCCAGTGAAACAGAGACTTACGTAAGGGAGGGCAGTGGCTGTGGGCTCAGCTCAGCCCGGGAGGGAACCCGTGGCACTGCAGCCTCCCTCACGCTGTGCAGTCCCTCACGCTTTGTAAATGAGAAGTGTCAGAGATCAGGTGCAGGCAGGAGAGCTTCAGCCATCCGGGGTGACTGCCCCAAAGCAGCAAAGTGCTCCGACTGCCCCTGCGGGGAAACAACAGCAGAATTTATGTGCATCACCAATTGAAAAATAGATTTAAAAAAAAAAAAGGGAAGCTTGATCCTGGGTACCTGTAGGGATGTCAGTTCACTTTGCTTCATGGGTAGGATTTCCTCTTCTCAGATGCAGCTGCATGTAGTATTTCCTCCCTGGAGAAGACTTTAAATGTGAGCTTGCTATGTTGTGTTTTCCTTTCAAATTAAGCTGCTTCTC